TTGCTGGGACGATGCGGAACCCCTTTGAGTCCCTTCTTTGCTTTAATGTCGGGGGGAATGAAAAGTTGAAACATCAACAACAAAAAGAGAGAGAAAACAGTTTTGTTTTTGCAGCGCCCCATTGGCTGCAACGGCACCCTCTCCCTCTCCCTCTCCCTCTCCCTCCCTTTGTTTTGTAATGGCGTGCATGAACACAATGACGGCTTCCAAATAATAATTAACAAACACACACACACACACACACTCGGCGACGATGACGAGATGTTATTTGCGTGTTGTGTGGCAAAGGCGCTGGCGGATTTTCTCCCCCCCCCCCCCCCCCACACCCCACACGTACATTGAAGGAATGAAGCAGCAGGAAGTGGAAGCAGGGAAGGAAAGAAAGAGAGAGTAAACAAACAAACAAACAAAAGAAAAACAAAAACAAAAACAAAAAGCGGGGGCCACGTGCCCACAACGCCAGCGCCACAACAACAACAAGAACAACCGAAAAAAAAGAAAAAAAAAAGGAGGGGAGTACAATGGAGGCAGCAGCGGCATTCAAATGAGTCACGAACACCAACAACATCACCATCAGCAGCAGAAGCAGCAGCCCCCAGCCACCCATCTTTGGAAATACGTCCATCTCTCATACGTACATGTAAAGAACACACAGGAAAGCAGCCAGCAACAAAATCCACTACTATTAAAAAAAAAACAAAAAACCGTCCGAGTCTCCCAAAAATAAAGATAATAAAACAACACTAATACACACACACACATGCACATACATTTACATACACATACATGTATATAACAATTGGACCAAAACAAAAAAGAATAGCCATATATATATATATACATATACATACAACAAATAGTAACGCTCAAAAAAAAAAAAAACAAAAAAAAAAGGTACTTATATATATATATATTAATTGATTTACCTTTTACGTTCAATTATATATAATGTTCCTTATTGCATATTATGAGTAAAGAAGGAGAGAGAGAGAGAAAACAAACAAACAGACAAACAAACAAATGTATACGGGTATTCTCTGTCATTGAATAAATGTTTCCTATGTGCGACCAACAGGACGTCTCGGACAGTACTCCATCGCACGGATTGGGCGTAGATGTGGTGGTACAGCAGCCACTTGTGAAGTTTCGTATGACCCTTCAATGGTGGGTGGTGTTTGATCTTGAGAGTCTACATTGCCTTCTGCTCTTTCTTCCTCATTTTGTTGTTGTTGTTCTTGTTGTTGATCCACTACTACAATATCTGATGCATTAGATAAACTTTGGTTATGAAAAAATTCACGTCCAGCACGAACGGCACTCATACCGAGAGTAAGGAATGTCATGTATAATACCGCACCAATAGAAGGGGAAGCCTCCCAGTTCCATACCACATTGCTGGTACGGTATATCCACAATTTCATTAGGTATCCAAGGCAAAGGGCCTGCCCAATACCTATTACATATACCGCCACAACCTTCGTCGTATTTCGAAACGTCCAAAACTCCGGAAGGGCTTGAAATTCTTGTACATGCGCCTCAATTTCCTCGCGTGTGTGCCAACGGCTGTACACAAGAGCAAAGGCAAAGGTTGCCAGAAGGACAAGCATAAAGTAACCAAACATGGTAAGCATGATGCCATCCAGGTTAAACATCGTCGTGTAGGAAACGCTGCGCCATGGGGCTCTGCAGGAGATCGTCCCCAGCGTCTTTCGAAGGAAAACAGTGATAGCAAAGAAGAAGACCACGGAAGAGAGCGCAAGTGTGACTCCAAGAACAAGGTGACGTGAACTCTGCCACAGAAGTGTGCGCCGCCGGATGGATATGTTAAAGGGCTTCTTACAGATTTCACATCGATTTACATTACGCATGTTACGTTTTGCACTTTCCATACGCCAACGGTCCAGACATGTGCGGTGGACCCACCGAACGGAGCCTGTACACTCGCACGCAGACACAAGCTTCTCTTCCTCCTCTCCGTCACGGCAAATGCGACAGACGTTCTCCTCTTCCTCCTGCTCTTCCTCCTTGTACAAAAAGGCACGGCTTTCATTAGAAGGATTCTTTCGGTATCTAGTATTGCCGCCTTCTGCCAGCTCGTCAATCACTCCCTCCTGCATTTCAACGGCAGACGTATGCACATGTACTACACATGGCGCCGACGTCTCCAACAGCTCACGTGGGCCCGATGCGGCAGAAGCGTCTTTATCTTTGTTGCCATGCCGGTAATGCAGGTTAGACGCTGCAATTAAGACGCGCGTAGGCGATGACGAAACGCTTGATTGGGGCTTGACCTCAAACTCCTCACGATTATTCAAAAGTTTTTGCCTTTCCTCCTTATTCTGTTTCTTCCTCGTGATGACATCAACTTCCTCTCCTCTTGCTTCCGCTAAGGCCTCCACTGTTTCTGCTGCAGCTGCAGGGGATGTCGATGTTGTTCCCGGATGGGATGGTGGTGGCGGTAGGATATGAACAACAGTTGAGTCGCGCCGCTCCTTTCCAAAAAAACCGCTGCTGCCCCCGCTGCTACAATCGTTGGTCGTGTTATTACCATTGCTGTTGTCGTGATTATTATTATTATTATTATTGTTCCTGCCGGCGGGCGTAAATCCCACATCGGCAGCCGCAAATGTCCCTGGCTGTGGTTGCGGTTGAAACGATGGAAACGGTGTGGGTTCTTCGTGCACACTTGGCAAACTCTGTGCCTCCTCCATAAGGCGGCGGTGCTGTTCTTCCAAACGACGTTGATGTTCCCTGGATCGTCGTTCCTTGTAAAGCCCCCATATAGTCGTGCCACAGCCCACAGCCACGTTGACGAAAGTGTCCCGCAGGAGGTACGGCATGTACCACAGCCAGTTGACAACGTCAATATCGACGAGATAGCCAGGAAGCAGATCGATGCGCCACAGAATAAACGGTGCTGTCAACAAAAGAAAGGCAAGTGGCAAGCCAAGCGCAAACACATTTTGCATCCGAGCCATCTCCTCAGCAGGGTCCTGCTCAATGAACACACGCATCTGACATTTGTAATTGCTGGCCGGCGCCGCATACCCATGGCGGGCGCTGATAATAAATTGATACACTGTTGGAACCGGGGTCGGCGCAACACGCATCATTACCGTTGGTAGGATGTCGCAGAAGGCACTGCTGTCAAGGATGGTTGCAATGGCGTTCCAAAATGAAGACCATGGACTTACAGGTTTACGTCTCGATGACTTGCTACCAGATGCACTGCTCCACACGTCACTCGACTTCCCGCCCTCATCATTCTCGTCCTTCACACGTATTTCCACATTGATGTAAAGGCCAAGACAGTTGGATGGCTGGATGTTCTCATCGTAACGACTGTCCAAGAGTTGTGCCACTATGTTGATCATGTTGTCCGCCTCGCCGGTAAACTCCAGCAGATGTCTGCTACCCGCCTCCACCGTGACGGAGATCACATCGTTTTTGTTAGGGATATGATAACTGTACTCCTCCGCCTCCGCCTCCCCGATCCTTTCTATCACCACACCTTTCTCCTTCCATGATAACGGCTGTGGGTCTTCTCGCAGCGTGAAATTTCCCCTCGTTTCCACGGCGGCACCCGCGGTGACCGCAGTAATTCTGCCAAATCCAATAGGCGACATCCTCGAACTGTACACCCCCCACGACACCTCACCGTGCGCCAAGAGCGGCAGCAGCGTGACGGAGAGAGTAAGAACGCAGTAAAACCACCGCATCATTTTTCCTGATATGTCTCTACTCCGTTTTTGTTTTGTATTTTTATTTTTACTTTTCACTTTTTTTTTCTTAAATTTCCTTCTTCTTCTTCTTCTTTTTTTTTTTTCCCTTTTCCCTCTTTTTATTTATCTTTTCTGTTTTCGTTCTCTATTTTCTCTCTTTGTTTCCCCTAAATGTTTGCCTCGCAAGTAAACGGAAATGTCCCTATTTTTCTTTCCCCCTTCCTTCCATTTGGCAAAGAGACGGAGAGATGGGGGAAAAGGAAAGGTGCGTGTCTCATCGCATGGCGTCTGAGATGCCACCCAGGCATGCAATTCAACGTCCGTCGCATGACGCATTCGCGATGGAAGTTTTATTTTATTTTATTTTTATTTTTTGTTTAAATCAAAGTCAATGCCAAAAACGTCGTCCTCGGCAAATGCGTCGTGTGACGTCTCCACCTTTCTTTCCGCCGAGGAAGACGTGTCCTCATTGACGTCCTTCTCGCGCTCGTGTGCCCGTTTCGGCTGCGGGCCCTCCACGCCGCACGAGACCTCCGCCGCGTACAGCTGCCGCAGGTGCTCACCGAGCGCATCCATCGCAAATGCAAAAAAGTCCAAATTACCCGCCGCTTGCTTCACGTTGCTCTCCGCTTTGTTCGCATTGCCGCTGCCGCTCTTGCTGGCGCCGTCAGGGCTCCTGCCATCGTCGATGTCGCCATCCTCCACTTCTCCGTTGACGTCGCTGCCGGCGTTGTTGTTATTGTTGCCACCTCGACCGTTGCAGCTGAAATTCGTGAGCCACCCATGCATTACCGGGTGCATCTCATAGCTGTGAAACAGCATCTTGAAGAGATGCGCCTTTACAAATGCGAGATCAACGGGGTAGCGTTGCACAAACTGCAGATACTCCTGCGCCGTCCGAATGGCGTCCAGTCGTGCCTCACGGCGCTCGGCAAAACACCGCCCGTTGCGCACAGGGTGAAGCGGCGCTGCAAAAAGACGCGGATCCCACAGCAGCGGCTCGGCGCACATGTAACCATCCGTCATTGTTGCCGACATATTACGCCGCACATCCTCAAATGTCAATACATTACCGTTCCCAATGACAGGAATGGACCCGCGCAGGTGCTCGCGTACACGCCGTATCTTTTCCATGTCCGCAATTCCTCTCTTGTTGTGCCGCGTTCGGCCATGCACGCAAAGGACAGCAATGCCGGTGTCGCGCAGCATCTCCGCGTACTTCAGCGTCAAGGCGTCGTCGTCAAACACACGCATTTTCGCAGTCACCGGCACCCGCAGCTCGACTGCGAGGCAGTGCAGGATGTTGTGCACACGATCCCAGTCCTCCATGAGAAACGAGCCGTAGTGGCCACGGCGGGCGATGCCTTGCGGACAGCCAAGGTTGACATCAACTGCCTCGCAGTCGTCCTCCACGTGACGCGCCGCGGCGAGAAGCGTGTCGGCGTCATTTCCGCAAAATTGCACAAAAAGCGGATGGTCTGTTTCTTCTCCATCACTCGTTCTCCCCGCATCTTCTGCTGCTTCCCCTTCTCCTGAGGCTGTTGCCGTCATCGCTAGTTCAGCGCGGTGCGGGGTTGTGGAGAAGTAACGTGCACGGTACTGAGCACTCTGTGCAAAGCTCCTGGCATGCAACATAGGACTGTACGCCAGCGTTGCTCCGTAGCGGCGGCAGAGCATTCGGAATGGCAGTTCGCTCTGATCCACCATCGGCCCTACAACGTACATTGGCCTCCGCCGCGGCGGGGCCCGATGGGTTTGTTCTGCACCCAACGCTACCCCTTCATTCCCCACATGGTCGTGTGCATCGCTACCGTCATTGCTCCGTGCTGCAGTGGGGGCGCAGACGATGTTGTCCCAAAAGTCCCACGGCGATTGGGGTTTCCTCTTCGGGTCAATGTGTTTTATCCCCGCGCTGCGAGGACCGTTGCAGTACGGGCACGTTGAGCTGCGAAACGGCTCCCCGCGTCGCACAAGCCCCCGGTACTTCTCCAGAAGCGTCTCATTGTACGCCATCCCCAATTTTTTTTGTTTGTGTGTTTGCCTGCGGTGACCCCCCGTACTAAAGCCAAAATCCCAGTGGGTGGGTGCATGCCGATGCATGCGTGCATCACAGCCACAGAGTGAGAGAGAGAGAGAAAAAAAAAAGAAGAAGAAAGAGACATGAGAAGCGTGAAAAAAGAAAAAAAAGGTCGGAGGAGGAGACAGACCCAGCACAGGAGGTGGCACGTGACAGCAGACATCCCCACCACAAAGAAGAGGGTTACGCATCAACATCCACGCAGATTCAGGCAGTAAGTTACACCATCACCACACAATAAAACAAGTCAGCAGTAAAAACAAATATATAAATATATAAATAAATAAATAAACATATAAATGTCCAAATATATACACGGGCACACTTATATACACATGACTGGTAATCCCGAATGCACTTTTGTAATGCATCCCAAATAAACATACAACAAATTTCAAATATCCCACAAGATATTGTGAAAAACGGCTACCCATGGGTACATTTCAGGGCTAAAAAAAAGAAGAAAGAGAGAAAAAGAAAGAAAGAAAGAAGACTACTTTAAATCGTTTATGCATCTAAACAAACATAACAATATATTTATATATAAACATACATTTCCCACCCTTATCCCATTGTTTACTGTTTTCTTTTGTTCCTCATCCATTTTTTTTTTTTTTTATAAAAAAAACAACAACAACAATGGCAACAATGGCAACAATGGCAACAATGGCAACAATGGCAAGAACAAAAAATACATCCACCACCTAACAGAAGACGCATCTTCCCCCGCCCCCTCCTCCTTCTTATGTTACTTGCGGGCTTCCTGTTGATGCACCAACATAAGTTATGACTGCACGAACAAATACCTTCACATTTTTCATAACTTCTTTTCCTTCTTTTTCTTCCCCGCGCTGCCGCTCATCAAAAAAACGCACTCACAGGAATAATTAAAATAAAATAAAAAAAATAAAATAAAATAAAGCTTCCAGAAAAGTCCTCTTCTACTCCCAGCACGCCTCCCTCCCCCTCCCCCTCTCTAAATATTCCCGATCATTCATTATTTCTCGCCTCCCTCCCTCCCACACTCAAACATCCAACCACATTTCTCTTCTCTTCTCTTCTCTTCTCTGTCCGTCTGTGCGCATGCATATTTGCGGGAGGGTCGTTTGACGGTGTCGTGACAGTCACGCCTCAACAAAGAAGGAATAAATTAAAAACAAAAAAAAAGGAACATAAATCACCGTAGACCAATCAATCAATCAATCAATCAATCAATCAATCAGAAACTACAAAACTAAAAGAGAAACCAAAGATAAACAACAACAACAACAAAAACAATTTCAACAGAGAAGGAAACAAACAGAAAAACAGTTAACAAACACAGAGCAGAAGCCCAAAAACAAACAAACAAACAAACAGGCAAGCGCAGAAGAGCGCAAAAGAAAAAAAAAAAAGAAAGAAAGAACGAAAGGCCTACAGGAAGTAAATATATATATATATTGAAATGAATCAAGTAATGTGTACACCAACTGCAGCTGCCAGTAATAAAACGCCTCAAATTAAAAAGACAGTTCTCACGTGATTCCGCATTTCTCTCTCTCTCTCTCTCTCTCTCTCTCTCCCTCTGTGGTCCTCACATATGCAGGACGTCGGAAATCATGTGTGAGGCCCCGCATACGGCTCATGGCTCCACCCAATCGCCGGTGCCGTAAAAAAGCCACTCATCGCTGCATTTTGCTCAATGATATGTCGCCGTGTAAAACGCTGTCGTTCAGCTCTCGGTGACACAATCTCCACCTCAACATGCCTCTTGTCATCATCCTGCGCCTCGTTGCTACTCACGCAGCTGCTGCAGCTACAAATGGAGTCGTCTGCCCAGCCACCAAACGGGCTGCTGCGGCCGTTGTTGTTGGGGTTGCCGCCATCATTCTTGCTGCTATCACGTTTCCGCAGGCGGTGACGATGGTTCCGATTTCTACGTTGCCGCCTTGAGCGACATGTGGCGCTCCCGCAGCTTTCGTTGACGGTAATTTGGCTAAGCGGTGACGGTGGTGCGGTCGTGTTCTGGCGCGAGAGATAATTCCCGTGGCCGTACACCGCCCCGGAGCTTGCGACCGTCGTGCAGCTGAGGCTGTCCGCAGTGTGCCTCGTGCGGAACCAGCGGGAGTTGCTGCCGCGTGTGTGGAGGCTCATCGCACTGCCGTCACTCCCGCCGTCGTCGCTGTCGACATTCCCGTCGGCCTCTTCCTCCGCCGCCTGTGGCTGCTGGCGCCGTGCGAGGCGTCGCTGCCGCCGCTGCGCCCGCTGCAGATTCCGCCGCCGTTCCTCCTCCGGGATGGGTGGCGCTTGCGAGCGCAGCGGTATACCCCGCACCTCCTCGCCCTCCTCCCCAAACACGGACGTGAACAGTTTGTAGCGGTGACAAAAAAATATGCCACCCCACAAAAGCAAAGCCGAAACACCGAGACACACAAAAATTACCGTCAGCAAAGAAATGGCATCGATCATTGTTTCTTGGCGCAAACAAGACGGAAAGGCAGGCCCTTTCCCCTTTTCCCACTACGCGCCAATGACTAAATCTTCTGATGTGTGGCGGTACTACAGCAAACGTATGCATGCACATAAAAAGCGTAAAAGAAAAAGAGAGAGAGAGAGAGAGACAGAATAAAAACTTACAGGCAGAAATGAACGTCGGGACGGCAGCACACACAAGGACGGTAAGAATGGGTGTAAATATCCATCCGCCCCTTTCAACCTCATTTGGGAAGTCACGTGTGAATGTGAAATGCAGATGACAATAACCACCCAACCGACTCCACAGCACCGCCACCACCACCACCACAACGACAACATTCAATAAAATACAATCGACATAAAGACATGCAAACGCCAGTTTTTACGTAGCCGCAAGAAAGACACGTAGATTTATTACTGTCGTTTTTCATCGGTCTGTGCAAAAAGAAGTAAAAAAAAAGAAAAAAGAAAAAAACAAAACCGGCAGCAAAGAAACAAAAAGGGCGGAATAAATAATCAAAAATCCAACCTAAAATAAAAAAACTAAAACAAAAAAAAAAGAATAAAATAAAAAGAAGTCCACATTGAAAGCACAGAAAAATGCGCATGGCGGGGCCTTGTCGCCACTTTTCCTTCCAAAATGGGAGGAGGGGAGCAGCAGGGGAAGTCCACAGTTCGGTTCCGTTCGCCCAACCTCCCCTCACACTCCAGAGAGGACATGCCCCACGCTCATACACCAGCAAAACGATTGGCCCATACATCGCTCTCTGACGGCCGGGACCGTTGTGGACTCACGAGGCGGCACTCTTTGAAAGGGCCCCACAGCCGCCGGTGATCCTCACCGAGCGGAAGGTAACAAAAATAGGAGTGAGTGGAAACGCACCGCAAAACAACTGCACCCGCCGCCCTTCAACGCGGAATCGTTTTTGAAAAAAGAAAAACCAAAAAAGATCGACGGGTAATTAAAAAACGAGGAACCAAAAAGAAAAAGAATCGCCCTCATTTATTTAGTGCCATATAAGCACATATTTCCCCCCTCCACGCTTTGAACCAAAAAAAAAAAACCCATTACACACCAACACGCGCCTAAACACAAACAAAAAGAAAGAAACAAAAATGAGAAAAGAGAACTATGGTGATGACAGAGGAGGCACAACGATACATATACATAAATGAACGTAGACATGTTTGGACGCCCAAAGGGACGCACATGTCCTTATCTACTAACTGCCTTACAGTTGACACGCTCCTAAACACACACACACACACACACACACACACACAGACCTCTTTTTTAAAATCCCCTTCTCGTCTCTAATTATAGTGAGTAAATACACTGCGTGTATCTTCTTTTCGCATATGACATCCATTGATGCCAATATGTACCCCTCCCCCCACCATCTTCCCTTCCAAAAAAGCCCTTCTCTCTTTTCAACGGTTTAAATTCTGTCATGAGCACACAGTTAAGGAGATTTATCACGTTTCAGATCGTCAACACCATGAGACGGTATGTCAATGGGCTCATTTGCTTTCCTCCGGACGCTGGGGCTATTATTATCATCATTGGCCCCTTGAGTATCCTTCTTATTCCGCGCAGAAAGCGGCTTGGGGCCCATTGATGTGGCAGCAGGAGTCTCAGGAGTTGCCTGAAAGCAAAAACTACTAAAAATTGATGACATGGAGCGAAGAAGATACGAGCTACGGCCGTAAAAAACCGGCGAGGGAACTCGCTCAGCCTCCTCTCGTTGCCGCTGCAGTCCTTCTTCCGTCGCCGGCGGCGGTGCGGCCTCAGGGATCCTACGAAAGTCGTCAACGTGCAGGACGGTGCGTCCGTCCGGCAGATGGTACGTGCGGGGAAACCGATGCTGGCGGGTACGGACGCGGTTCTCCAGCGCGTGGCCATGCAGCGTTTCCTGCTGCTGTCCCTCCTCCGGCTGCGTGCGGTGCGGCGGGTACAAAAAATTGCCTTGGGCGATGTTTTGGTTCTCCACGCGAATGTGGACGACCGATGATCGCGATAATAAGCAGCACCTCCAGTAAACATTAAACCACATGCACGCAAGGAGCAAAGCAAGGACCAAAACGGCAATGATGACAATAATAATGATGGAGCTCCATGTGATGTTTTGGGAGTCGTTGGCCATCGTCTTTTCACGGGAACCACCACCACCACCACCACCGCCTCTTTTCAACCCGCACCCACTTTTGTCTCCCTCACACTCTCTCCTTCTCGCTAGTATTTTTTTTTTGTTTCTTTTTTTTTTAAAGTTTATAGATCTCACTGCGGGGCCTCTTTCTTTTATTTTATTTTTATTTTTCCCGCTCCTTCCCTCCCCTCCGCTCCTCCTCCCCGCTATGATCGGCTGCCACACAACACAACGCCCCTCCCTTGCGGTTGTGCGGCCAAAACTGAGCTGACGGAGAGAAGACAGAACCGTTTCTATGCGTCGTGTACGCCACTGTGGCTGTTGGAAACACTCCGAAACAATTAAAAAAAAAAAGAAAAAAAAAAAGGAAGCCGCACACACAAAAACAAAAACCAAACAAACAAACAAAAAGGAGATCAATGAACCACAGCAAAAAGAAAAAAAGAATAAAAACCCAAAACACACACACACACACACACACGGTGAGGAAGAGGGAGGGAGAAAGAATTGGCGGCGGAGAAGAATCCAAACAGAAAAAGAAAAAAACAGGGAAAATTAATCCGCAACCAAAAACCAAAAAACAAAAATCAAAAGAAAATGTGAATTTACATGACAAAATAATCACCCTGGCTCAGCCGGCCACCTCAACGTGGTGCCAGGGTCTAGTACTCTTGCTAGAGAGGAAGCTAAGTGCCTTCTGTTCATGCTTCAAACCCGATAAGTAGTTGTTACTTAGTTTTACGGGCCGGAAGGGCAGATGTTGGAGCCATTCTATAGTGGCTGCCCGCGGAGTAAGGTTATCCTTGCCACTGAATTCCTTCGTACGCTTACCAGAGCTGCACAATTGAGGTGTAGTTACTACGACTGGTAAGAGAAGAAAAAACCAAAAAAACCAAAATAATCACCGTCTACATCGTCACCCGAATAAACGATATTCTCACAATTCCCCCGACAATCACAACAACAACAACAACAAAAAATAATAATAATAAAATAAATAAAAAATGACAAGTTCACTCCTTTAATATAAACCCAAACCACATACATACACACAATCAAAATGACAACAGCAAAAACAACAAAAACAGCAGAAAACAACAAAGACCAATAATTCCCTCATAAACCTCCCAAAAAATCAAAATTCCACAAATCAGATCTTCAAAAGAGCGAAAAATTCTCCTACTACACAGACATACCCGTACAATGAGAGAAGATGCCACATCCTCAACAACAAAACAAAACTAAATAAACAAACAACATACTCAAAATTCTTCGAATAAAAAGCAAAAAAAAAAAAAAAATAACAGTCCCTTCAGACAATCAATACAATCACCTTTTGCAAACCATGGGCAGTAAGCCTTCAGTAAAAAGCAATACACAAAACGGAAAAACACATACGATAAAAATAAAAATAACAGAAGCTTCGCCAGCCACTGTGTGTGGTCCATGGACCGAGCCGCCATCGCCAAGGTGAGTTGCTTAAGATCTTGTAAACGAACTAGGGAGTGCAGGGTGCGAGGGGGAGAAGGGTGATGCAGAGAGACGCAGGGGACGTGCCCGTGTGTGTGTGTGGGTGTGTGTGTGCTGCGCAGCGGCGGCAGGAGTGCCGTGGAGGTAGGTGTATTCAAAGAAATAAACCAGAATAATCTTCCGGGAAGCTGGCCGGATCCTGAAATTATCTATGGAAACCAAACAAGTTAGGAAAAAAGGTTCGTTAGTTAATTGCTTCAATGTTTTATTCTCATTCAATATATAGAATTCTGTGGACCATTAGCATGGTCCTTTGTCCTCAGTTAGGATTTGAAATATTATTACTTACGAAGTGGCAGACTTTGGGGTCCTCCAACCACAAGACCCCGCCGCTCCCCTCGCAAGTTCCACCCCTTCGCCAGTTCCTGAAGTGCTAAAACACACGACCGTGTGATATGCGGTCTGCGGGGTTTTCTGCAGACCGCACGTAGGCAAAAGTTGCCTGTATTCCGCGAGAGTCCAAAAACTCATATATCCGTTGCAGCTCCCACGTCATGGCGTGCGATTTCGAGCTGCCTTTATTCGCCGCTCCTTGCAGCGAAGTGTTGTCCACCCAAACGTCCATGGTGGATGGCAAGATGGCGGAAAAGGCCGATAAGGCTAAGCGTACCGCTCGTGCCTCGGCCTGCATGATAAGAAAAGGTTTCTTCTCCCATTTCCCTCCGGCAATTTTAACGTCGCCGGAGTCTGGAATAAAAACGGCTCCCCATCCATGGAGCGATGCATCCGTGATGATGGCAGCCGATGCTCTCTCGGTGGGCTTGATGATTCGCTTGCGATTGTTCTCGATGGTGTGTCGCAACCTCTCGCCCAAACCAACCGCTGCCGGCCGAAGGTTCGCCGGGGATTTCTCCTGCACAATTCCCCGGTTAAGTGCCGATAATCGTCGTCGCACTGCCTTGATGAAAAAATAGTATTGGCATAAACGCGTGCCCAAAATGGCAGCCGCGTACAAAAAACGTGACGCCATAACCTCCATTTCCGCGATGGTCAAAGAATTAAGCGCCGGCATGGCGCGCACAGACCAGACAAACTTGTCACTCAGGGATACCGCCCGGTGAGTGTGATCAAACTGCACCCCCAGGAAGGTGTACTGCGTAGCGCCCGATTCGCGTTCCTCCCCCAAGGATGCGTGACAACTGTCCGCATTACGAAGCACTTGGGCTTCCCACAATGTCACATCGCTTTTCGACCCTGCAATGCGTATATTATCGATCCAAACGTCGACACGCACCGATGGAGGTGCGGCCCAGAGGGGGTGAACCACCGTCGTCATCCCCGCAATCGCCGAAGTAATAATCTGGAGAATTTCTGGGCTGGCCTTGTATCCCACTGGGAGCCGTGTCAGCTCCACCAGCGTGCCGTCCTCCACGCGGCATCGAAAGAGATGCCGAGTCTCCCGCGGTAAAGAGACTTGCAAAAAGGACGCCTTTAAGTCCAGGCAGGAAGCGGCCTCAGCCATCACAGGTGGCAAATAATGGGAAACGTGTAAAAGAGGAACATTCGCCTCGTAAGGGTCGTCTCTGTTCTTGTCGCGTGGCCACGCGATCCATCTTCGTCGTAAACCGGCGGTTTTCTCCTCCACAACCGAAAAAGGTATTATCCATCCGCCTGTTATTGTGGACGAACCGTCCTCGATTATTCCTGCTTTTCGTAACAAATGCGCATCAGCGGTTGGAATCCTCCGTGAGCCTTCACGCGCTTTACCGGAGGAAGACGGAGGGAAAGGGGACCGCCCGACGAGTCTCCAAACTTGCATGAGCCTCTCCAAGGTGGCCGGGTTCAACCGACTTTTAATCCACTCTAAGTTCAATACGGGCACGTTGACTTGCTGTAGCGGGATAGCGTGTTCATCTTGTGGAGTGGCCAGACGCGTCCTTGTCGCGCGTCTCGTTATTGTAGCGGCATGATTGTGATTAAAATCATGAAAAAACGCTCCTCTGCTCTCAGCCAGGGTTCTTGCCCCTCCGCAGTTTCTCCCTTCACATCAATGCGATCAATGACGACACCTGGGTCAGCATTGCGGTGTATCTCCCCAAATAACAAACAGTATTCTGGGGAAGGTCGAACGGGTCGACGTGCTTCGCCAACTGCGAGATCACGTGTGGGTCCAAATCGTGCGTCCCCACGATTTGAGCAGCGTGCCGCAACACACCGCGTTTTATGGAATGCACCGTGGCATTCCAAGGAGCCAAAGCTCGTTCGACTTTGGCAGTCGTAAGATTCGTGAGCTTTTCGTTTTCTTGAAGTGTCCTGCATAGCTTTATAGTGTCGAACGCGTCCTGCCCTCGTATCCTGACGAACCGCGAGGCGCCGTGGGGATCCGCTTTCGCCGTCTTTGGCGCGACGGACCAATCCAAAATTAGGGTTCCGTCCGCCTCCAGTGTGAAATTTTTGGCTGTCAAGGCCGCGATCTCGGACCAGCGACTCGCCGTTATCCACGCGAGTCGTAAGACAACACGTTCCTTCCAATCGGTCCGGCTGCGGATTAGTTGATTCATCTCTTCCTTTGTCAAGGGGCGCGCTTGCTTCGTCTCCGATTGCGCAGCGATTTTTTGTAACCCCAGAATCATCATGTCCAGCGGAGTTCGATCCATTTGCAACATGGACCGCAGCATCCTGGCGTACTGCAGTCGGGTCGATGGCGCGACTTCGATTGCCATCAAAAAGGCCGCACAGCTCTCCTCGTTTATCGGCTGTTCGTGCGTGCGGCAAAAAGTCGTGAATTGCCCCGCTAGAGGCCTTCTCTGCTCCCACGTTGACGGCGCCCACATCTCTCGAGCGACCTCGTTTGCTTTCCTCATATAACTGGCCCAAAGCGGGGATGTCGGTAATTCGTCGTACCACAGTCGAGCGTCGTTTACGGATAAGCTCCATTGCCCTTCCCGACGATTGCGTCGGGCAATTTGAAAGATCGGGTGGAGCATCGATGGCGCGGTGCGCTGCCTGTGAGGATTGGTGGGAGGTGGCAGGTTGGATGGG